TCTGTTCTCCTCATTGCTGAGTGATATTTGTAACTCATCCTGATAAACTTCCTACTATCATTTCTTGTTAATTTGCACAGAATTGTACCTATATTGCAGTGAGTTTCAGTGCACATTATACTATCAAGTTTTTCTTTTACTGATACTACATTAGATGTTCCCAAATTCCTGACTGATTCTGCCCTGCTGAGTGTTGAAAATGGGTCAGCACTGGGACCAGAAAACTAACAAGTGATGTCTATTTGTGTAGCAGAACTCAGAGAAAAGAATTCCAATGAGGAAAAACACATGAGAGCTTGATATTCCTTGAACAATCTGTCCCACACAGACTTTAGGGATCATGAAAAAGTTTCAACCTCACCAAACACCATTTCCTAAGGGAAATGATCATTTATTTGTGTCAATTAGCAAATGGAAAAAAGAAATGTTTCAGCAAATCCCTTGACTCCCAAAACCAGAGCAATCATTGCAACTACAGGTCAGAGGTTTGTGGTTCTGAAGGGAGATGAAGTCATTGTGCTACGATCCTTTATCTTATGTTCAGCTGCCTCCTGCTTCCATGGTGCTGGCTGTAATGTCAGGAGCTGCATCCTGAATTGATGGTTTGCAGAGGGAATGAATCAAGTGATCATCGTGTGCCTCAGTCTGGAAGGCAGAGCAAACACAGATGGGAAACCTGGTAAGCACTCATGTCTGGAATGTATTCTAGGTAGAAACAGAACAGTGTGAATTCTATCAAAGTAAAAGGAAGTATTTCTGGGATATAAACACAATTACTGAGGCCAATGGCTTTACTGCATTCATACTAATCTCTGATGTATAAAAATAAGGTAACAAAATCCCTGCCCAACTATTCAAGAATCATTCCAGTGATCATGAGTCTGACACAAACGTGATGAAGGATGGCAGTGATTATGTTTTTCCCATTTCCAACTCTTCATATTATACATGAACCATATGATAACATCTCAAGGTGACAAACGTAGATGCTGGCATAAAAGATTAAAGGGTGTGATGAATATTATCAAAATAATCTCATCCTGGTGAGGAGTTGGGGGCTGGTTCTGCCTCTGGGTGTAACACATTTCAGTATAGATGATGGCATAAAAGATTAAAGGGTATGATGAAGATTATCAAAATCGTCTCGTCCTGGTGAGGAACTGTGATCTGGATCTGCCTCCGGGTGAGACGCATTTCTAGGCAGCACTCCATCTATGATGGCTCAGGAGCTGGGTGTGTCCTGACACTCAGTGCTGATGACTGATGAGGCTGCTTTAATTTTTGAACTGGAGAACACAGTTCTAAAGGTGACGGTGTAATTGTGAATCTTGGATGACTCTCATCTCCAGGTCCATCTAATCCATTTTCTGTTATTTCTTCTGGTTTGGTGATACTTGAATGGTATGCCAATCTTGAGTTTCAATTTTTAATATGATACCTGACATTATCTAAAAACATTCATTGGGCACAGAGGGCACAGAGTTGACCATGGGAATTCCCCCCACAGTTACAAAAATGCATATTTTATATTCTTGTATTCTATACATGTTTACTTTGAAATTAAATGCAATTAACAAATTGCATGGATTGTTTATTAGCAGTTTGATAAACAGAGATTGTAAAATGTGAGACTGAATTTTAAATTGGTGAAAATTTAATGTTCTTTTCTGCGTGTGCATGTGTGCATGTGTATGTGCATATTTGTGTGTGCATATGTGTGTATGCATGTATTTGTGCATATGTGTGTGTGTGCAGGAGCAGGTGCACCGTGAGTTCAGGAGAACTACCATTTCAATGTGCTGTTGGACTCTTTAGATAACATAACCCTGCTTCATTTTTAAACATGGTCCCTGAACTTCCTGGATCTATCTCACCTGGATAGACTAGTTTTCCATATATGCTTCTCTGATGCTTAGAATACAAGTATACTAGAATATATTAGTTATATTTTTATTTGATATCTGGAGATAGAACATAGGTCATCTTACCTACTCTTCAAGTAGTTAACAACCTGAGCTCTCTGTCCACTATAGTAATTACTGAAATTCTATGCTCAAAGTTGTTTCTTATATTAGTTTTTATATTTCATAGACAATTATGAATGCTGGAAAAGGCTTACAAATGCAATTGTATTCACTTCATTTCACACACCTTCTTATGTTTTACTATCAGCCATCATCAAAACATGTTAGCTGGAAAAACAAATATTGGGTATCCCTTGCATTCATCAAGTCCAACTTGGATACAGGAAGTTTCTGTAGGAATAAATTGCATTTTATTTGATGTCAACTTAGGCTAGAATAGAAATAAAATTAATAGCAGGATAAGATTTAAAATGTGGCTGATGTATCTATGTTGATTAAATTTTTGGGGACTGTTTGTGGAAGTAAACAGGCCATATTCTCATTTTCATTTTCCCAGTGTCTAAATTGCTCAGAATGACCTTCTCTCTTTAGACAGTCATCTACATTGTTTTCCTCAGGATTTGTCTTGGAAGGAAAAAGAGTTATATTGTCCACATCAAAACTTCATGGAAATCACAGCAAGTGGCAGAGGAAGGGTATTGCTACAGTGATTCATACATTGTCACCTCTTTTTGCAGTTTTCAGTCTAGCTTCAGGATGATTCAATGCAATTAAATTTTGATTAGATACTGCTCTTTGAGAAGAATTGATTTCAGGTGATGTAATAAGTGTGATCAAATTGCGTACATACACCTGTGAAATTTCATGGTTTTGAAGACAAATGGGGATCACTGGAAACTGGCAGGGTGCCTGCAGGAATTGTTAAACAGGCATTCAACACACCTGTCTGAATGACAATGGTTTCCTGTATTATCTTTCTTCTTCCCTTGCTGTTTGTTCTGTACACTGATAAAGCACTCAGGTTCTTTCTTATACATGATTCTTAAATACTGTGCATCCATTTTTTAAAGTTCCTGGGATCTCAGTTTGAAAATTTTTCTGTTAATCTGCATTGTTTCCTTTCCTGATTCATCTGCCATAGGAAAACATCATCTTCTGTCAGTATGTCCAGCATATCAGTAAACCAAGGCCTTCAGGTGGACTGAACTGAAGATGTGGCATAGTGTACTATTTTAAATTGTTCTCTGTAGAATTCTGTATATTCTCAAAAAATATATTCTTGGTATGATTTCCTTATCTAAAATAAAAAGTATCATAAAATGCAACAAAGTTTCAGGATAGTTTTCCAATGTGTTTCATGAGGAAGTTGAAATATTCATCAATTTAATATTACTTAGTGGTTTGTCTTGTAGTACTAAGACTTTCGTCTTGCAGAGGACAGGTTTCACATAAATTATATGTAAGCAACCCTCACAACAAAGTCACTTTCTGTAGTTGTGAAAGGTGATTAGACATTTTGTACAAAAGAAAGACAGAACAGACAATGTCCAGGGATCTGGAATTCACAAGTAAATATCTACTTAGTATGTAACATATACATCAAGAAACAGATGCTTGGAGGAATAGACCAATGAAGAAGTTGCAGGAAGTTTCAGGCCAGCCTAGATTATTACAGAGTGAAACCCTATTTGTACTTCTCTTATTTTTGAAATTGAGGTAACACCATAATTCATTGCATCAGTCATGCAATCCTGGTGGGTTCTTGGTAGGATAGGACTCTGGAAACATGAGTTCATATCTGCTAACCTTTAAGTGGCTGGATCACTGCTGACCTGCATTGAAATTTGCCTTAAGGGACATATATCATATGAACTCTTATATTTCTTATACATAAGGTCTTTCTTAATGCAATTTCTATTTATACTGCTACAGAGGACAGCACTGCGAATATCAGAACATGTAGGATATTCCTTTTGGTTTGTTTTGATTCAGGGTCTCACTATGTAATTCTGGCTGTCCTGGAATTAACTATAGAGAGTATCGTGGTTGTGAATGCAGAATGTTTTCCTATCTCTATTTTCTGGGTGGAAGAATGGAATGCATTTGTCACCATGTCTATTTGACAGAGTTAATTATTAAATAATGCATTAGCTGTGCCCTTGATTAGGAGCTATTTCTGGCAGGTATGTTTTAAAATTTGTCTTTGAAGACATTTCCACAGGAGTGAAATTGTGAACAAGTAGAAACATGTCTACTCCAGTTAAACATTTGTGTCATTAGGAATAGTTTGGACAGTGTGTCACATACCTACTTTATCCTTATTCTTACTAAGGGCTGGTGTTTCATGCTAGGTTTGTTTACATTTCTGTTAATTCATTTTGACTTTTGGCAATGGATCTATTTAGAATAATGGACACCCTTCCCTGGTTTTTCCTCATTGTGTGGTTGTCGTACAATTCATGTGAGTTTGCCAAACAAAATACATGTGTTTTTTTTCTGTTTTCCCCACAATTTTTCATAGTGAATAGTGTGTGTCGTGTGTGTGTGTGTGTGTGTGTGTGTGTGTGTGTGTGTGTTTGTGTCTGTGTGTGCTTGAATGTTGATGTGCAGTATCTCTTAGTTTAACCTTATCTAGCTCATCATTTGATGCCCATTATAAGATTGTTATATGATATCTTATATACATTTTCTCATATAAGAATATAGAGATGTTCAATTCATTGAGGAAAATATGCCTTTTAGTTTAAAATTTAAATGCAAATATCATGGAGCTCTTTTACATTGAAGCTGCAAATTGTTGTCTCCTTTCCAGAAATTTATTGTATAAAGAACAGTTCATTCTGGAATGTGTATGCGAACATTCTTTCCAATTGCATTCAACTGGCGATTGCTTCCTCATTGAAATATGGTGCTATTTTTAAATGCTGACGTCTTTAAGAAATGTGGAGATGTACTAGAAATTCACTCCATAAATATGGACAATTATAAATTCAACAATTTCCCTGAGAGTTATTACTGATTGCAAAGTATTTGCTTTGAGACAGTCTTGTTAATTACACACACTGCCTTTGCAAACTGAACTCAAGTTATTGTTCTCCACATGCATAAAAGGATAGAAATTTTCAATGTATAATTTGGCTCAGAGACATAATTGTTATTATGTTATATACTGTTAAAAAAAGTGCTGATTGGAAGAATGGACTCCAGAAACTTGACTATAGGAATAGTGATCTCACTTCAGAGTACATTAGGAATTCTGGGAAATTTATCTTTTCTTTTTCACTATCTACTCATTTACTACACTGAACACACATTAAAGACTGTAGACTTAATTCTTATACATGTGTTCACAGCAAATTCCTTAATCATTCTCTCTAGAGGAGTACCCCAGTTAATGAGAGCTTTTAAGTGGAAAAGGTTCTTCAATGATGTTGAATGCAAACTCATTTTCTACGTTCACAGACTTGGCAGGAGCATGTCCATCACATCCATCTTCCTCTTGAGTGTCTTCCAGGTCATCACCATCAGCCCTAATGTCTCCTATTGTAAAGACCTTAAAACCAAATTAACAAAATATGTTCACCTTTCCATTTCCTTCCTCTGGATCCTGTACATGATAGTAAATATGGTTTTTCCCATGTACACATCTATGAAGAGTAATGTCGAAAATAAGACAAAAATGAGAGATTTTGAAATTTGTGACTCTCTCAGTCGAAACAAAATAGTAGATTCACTGTTCACAGCATTTTGGGTATTTCCTGAAGTCTTATTTTCTACACTCATTGTATGTTCCAGCGTCTCCATGATTGTCATACTCTATGGACACAAGAAGAGGGTTCAGTACATCCTCAGCACTCATTCGTCCACCAGAATTTCCCCTGAATCCAGAGCCACACAGAACATCCTGGCCTTGGTTTGCACCTTTCTAGCTTTCTATTCCATCTCCTCCTTTTTACAAGGCTACATCGCTCTTTCACGTAATTCCAATTCGTGGCTAAGGAATATCACAACCATGGTTTCTACTTGTTTTCCTACTTTATGTCCCTTTGTGGTGAGACATGATTCCATTATTTCCAGAGTTTACTTTTTCTGTTTGAGAAATATCAAAAGGAATTAATCATATTAATTTTGTAAATTGTAACATTTTATTGTTTTATATATATATATATATAAAATTTTATACACTCATGTCTGTAAATATATCAGTGTAGTAAGTTATCATTTTATCATCTTACTTATTGATAATTTTACTTATAAAATATGAATTTAATAATGATATACATTATTTTATCTGTAAGATCATTTCACAGAATAACAGTGGTATACTCTCCATTATAGTAAAAAGCCAGGGTAGCCACAGGTTCTTAGCCACATTACCTATTATAGCTATGGACACTCAATTAACTGTTATATACTATTATAATTTGGCTGGTTACTTAATGTGAGAACTTGTTGACAGGCCAATCTTTTCTACAGCTGTGTTTATTGTTTGCTGAGTGATATTGATTACTGTTTTCCTCCAGTAGAGAGCATAGCCCCTTGTAGCAGTAGGAAAGCTAACATAGTTGGGATGTAAGTTCAAAGGAAATATATGCTGGTTTCCATAGTTTATGTCTTAAGTACCATGCAGTCATAAATTTGAACTCACAGTTACTCTATGGCAGCATACACAGACACGTTCAAGTCAGAAAATATCCCAGTAGTATGGGCAGGGAGTATGCAGACATTAAGTCCAATGTCTCCATGAAGTACAATTGGCATTTGATAACTGTTAGGAGAAGGGGAGTGCCAATTTCCTAAAAGTGCCTCTGTCCTGTAGGTTGGCGCATTCAGGGATTCGTCCTATACTCAGTAATACTAGGCTAACAAAAATGTATATGACAACTTTACAAATAAAATAACTTGTAGTTTGGTTAATAGGATAGGGATGAATCTGAGAATTTTGGTGGAGAGACGATGAATGTGATCAAAATACTTTGTATGAAAATCTCAATGGGTTGAAAAGAATATTAAAATTTGTGATAGAATTGTCTTTCCAAGGTACTCTCTAGGGGTTGGGGTACTTATAGCAGCAAAGTGGAGGTGATTGCAACATGGTGTTCTGCCATGTATAATCACATCTCATGTGCAGAAATATTAAGTAGTGCTCATTAAGGGTTACATATTGGATTCTTTTTTCTTTTCTGAACCTAATTGTTACATTTAATTTTTGAGTATTTACACCATGGACCCTCACACTTTTTCCAATTCTTTCCAAGCCTGCCATACAACCTTATAGCCTCCTCCCCCCAAATAAAGGAATTGGGGATCTTCAAAAATTGTGCATAACACGTATCATTTATGCCAAAATTCTTAAAGACAAATAGGAGCATACTCCCACTGAAGCCTAGTGATTTTTTCTCATGTGAATATTATGACTGAGTCACAAAGATGTGATATTAGTTTAATTGGGAGCCATGCACGTGCTTGATTATTATTAGTGGAATTACAAATGGTATAATACAGGTAATCTTTCTTATGTTCACATAAATCAACTCTGAACAATACTCGTTTTTAAATACGGAAGATTGCCCGGTGGCGGTGGCGCTTACCTTTAATCCCAGCACTTGGGAGGCAGAGGCAGGGGGATCTCTGTGAGTCTGAGACCAGCCTGGTCTACAAGAGCTAGTTCCAGTTTAGCCTCCAAAGCCACAGAGAAACCCCGTCTCGAAAAACCAAAAAAATATGGAGTATGCGAGTCTGGGGAATTCATGTAGGTCAGTGTGTGAAAGCAGGTGTGAGTGGGTGCAACAGAAGGATTCATGGCTGCCAAAGGGTTTGAGTCCATCGGAAAGTTCGGCCTGACTTTAGCATTTGCAGGAGGCACGGTGAACTCTGCCTTATATAATGTGGATGCTGGGCACAGAGCTGTCATCTTTGACAGATTCCGTGGAGTACAGGACATTGTGGTAGGGGAAGGGACTCACTTTCTCATCCCTTGGGTACAGACACCTACTATCTTTGACTGCGGCTCACGACCACAGAATGTACCAGTCATCACTGATGAGCGGGTGCTGCCATCCATCACCACAGAGATCCTCGAGTCACTGGTGGCTCGCTTTGATGCTGGAGAATTGATCACCCAGCGAAGAGTTGGTCTCCAAGCAGGTGAGCGATGACCTCACAGAGAGAGCAGTGACGTTTGGGCTCATCCTGGATGACGTGTCCCTGACACGTCTGACCTTCGGAAGGAGTTCACAGAACCAGTGGAAGCCAAACAGATGGCTCAGCAGGAAGCGGAGAGGGCCAGATTTGTGGTGGAAAAGGCTGAGCAGCAGCAGAAGGCAGCCCTAATCTCTGCAAAGGGTGACTCCAAGGCAGCGGAGCTGATTGCCAACTCCCTGGCCACCGCAGGTGATGGCCTGATTGAGCTGAGCAAGCTGGAAGCCGCCGAGGACATTGCTTACCAGTTCTCGCGCTTTCGAAACATCACCTACCAGCCAGCAGGGCAGTCGGTTCTCCTGCAGCTTCCCCAGTGAGTCCTCCCCTGCTTGTACCTTGTCAGGCTAATCAGGCTGTGGCCTGATCATTCTGAATACTTTCCTTCTGCCCCGCCCCAGAAATCACTGTGAAATTTCATGATTGGCTTAACATGAAGGAAATAAAAGCCAAATCACTTCAGATCTCTAATTATCAAATGAAGCTTTTGTTGTTCCACTTTTGTTTTTTTTAACCCACTTTCAAATCCAGAATTTCCAAGTGCTTACGCAGCCTGGCTTTGAGCCTTTTGGAGCCTGGCCTTCCACCCTAGGCACTGACAATTGGCAGAAGAAAGGCAGGGCAATGTGTATGGTGTACCGTAGCACAGCCGGCACCTTAGTAGACCTATAGCCTCCATCCTGTCATATGTGGAAGATTTGAGGACAGTGGCAAACACAGTTGAACTAAAAAGGCAGGCCCTCAATTTTCCAGCCATTTGATCCTCCACAGACGCAGCTGGGGAGGGCCAGAGAAAGTGGTCCATCTTAACTCTAAGGCCCGTTCCCGTTAACTGTGACCAGCGGAAGCAGGTGTGTGTGAACAGGGCATGGACTGAAGAATCTGCCCATCAAGGTAGGTGGGCCTAATTATGCTTCCCCCTCTAGAGTCCTCAAACAGGGATGGACTTGGAATAGTACGAGAGGCCTGAGTCCGTTGAAGACTTCCTTTCCACTCCCCACATTGGTCCTCTAAAATACCCAATGGGATTCCAGCTTGAAGGATTGCATCCTGCCGGGGCTCAGCACACCTGCCAAGGACACGTGCATCTGCCTTCCCGCTCGCTCTAAAAGATTGCCCTTTCTTCCCAAGGGCTGTGGGCCGGTGCTGCGAAGGAAGCGATCAAGGGAAGAAAACACAATGTAAGCTGCTGTCAATTAATGACACCCAGACCTTCCAAAAAAAAAGAAAAACCAAAAAATATGGAATATTACTATTCTAATATTTGCTGAGCTCACTCATCTCACTTGTCACTTATTTCTAATAAAGCCTTAATTGTTTCTTCCTACTCGTGTTGGTCTTCTTGGCTGTGACATGCACAGTGGTTTTCCTGTATAGTACACAAGAATGTGTGTGGATCTTTCAAATGTAGTACTAGGTACAAAAGTGACAGTTATGAGAAAATGTGACACAGCTAAGACACACAAAAAATAGAGATCTAAAATGCAAGTCTGTAATATAAGACCTGGAAGATCTCTTTTTATCTGACAAAAGGTAAGAGATAGAGGTTGTCCCCAGCAGACAGGTCTAAGAATTGAACTCTTCTGTCTGATATATTCCTTCACAATGTTTCCAGAACTTCAGTATATCGTGCCATCAGTTTGGTTCCATGAACTCAATCACCAAGTTTGTTGTGTGTTTGTTTTGTGTTTGTATGCGCGTAAATGCTTAGATGACATCTGTTTTGCCAAAGACCCTCACCACCATAAACTACAGTAGCACCATATTTAACAAGCTGAAGCAATTATTTAGTGTAGAAAGCAGGACCACAGGCTTTACCATTTCATTCCCTGAAATCTAAGCTGTATTGATGTCTTGTTTGTGCTTTAACAAATAAAACTGAAGAACTGAGTGTGGAGCTAGCCACAGTTTTCTCATAGAGTCCAGGTAATGTTGGCACACACATTTAATTCCAGCATTCGGGAGGCAGAGGCAGGCAGATCTCTGTAAGTTTGAGGCCACCCAGTGCTACATGAGAATGATCCACTCTAAGAGAGAAACAGAGTCACCTGGCTCACACCTTTAAACCAGTAATTGGGAATCACATGACTCTAATCACAGCTCTAGGGAGGTGGAGAAAGCAGTGATAGGCCTAGGAGGAGAAAGGAATATAAGGTGGTAGGAGACAGGAGCTCAGGGCATTCATCTGAGATTTTGTAGGGACAGGATCGCCCCTGTGTTCTGAGAATTCAGTATAGGTAAGATCCAATGGCGGGCTTCTCTGCCTCTCTGATTGTTCAGCATTAATCCCTGCATGTGAATCTGAGTTTTTATTATTAACACCAATTATACTTCACATTACATAAGTAGCTGTTATGTTGTCTTAGATATTTTTGGCAAAGAAATAATTTCATCACTCCTAAATTCTGCTTAATGTAAATTATCAGACATTAGTCAGAAAAAACAAATGTATTCTTTGACAAAATATCACAAAAATTGTTATTATGATTGCTGTTAAATGTTTTTATTCATTCATAAAACTCTTGAGCTAGCCTCCAGAGTTCACATTACTCTCATCAGGAAAGTTTTCTTAGCTTAAAATATAACATCTCATTATGAGCTTCTGGTAGCATTCAGTTGTTTTAATATTACAAGTATCCACACTCTTCCCCGTTGTCCTCCTCCCAAAGTCAAACAGAACCACTCTACTATGATACCAACTTATACATGAGTAACTTATTTTTGCTGTGATGAGATACCATGACTTGAAACCGCAAACAGAAGGGAGAGTTTATTTGTATTTTAGAGTCCACATTGACTGTTTATCATGGTGGAGATTCAAAGGAACACAAGTCTGTCATGACAGAAGAGGAGTGAACCTATGGTAAGTGAGGTGATCAAATATTATAATCAACATAAAGCAGAGTGCGCGCAGTAAGT